ATGTTAGTATTCTCTTATGAATGCTAAACAAAAAAAATATGATATTTTTAGGGGGTTTTTTAAGCTGCTTGCTTGGATTCTGTAAATATTTGACTTGCAGCACATTTAGATTTCTTTTTAAAGTTAAGGGTAACTTTTAATTTCCTGGGCATGTAATGTTTGATTTCTGTAGATAATGAAAACATTTGTAATGGTCTCTTACCCTAAGTTACTGATACGTACTTTTAACCATATCTGCTTTTTAATGTAGTTTTGTCTCGGGATATTGATTTTTGTGACACTTTCTCTATCGTATCTTTCTAAACAAGAACAAATAAAATGAATGTTGTCTCTAATTCTTAAAATTTCCCTGGTGAAAACCAGGCAGCAGAAAAATCCAGATTTTTAAAAGAACAGGTGTTTTCCCAATCTCTGAAGAGTGGATTCCCAAAGTCTTATTCACATTAATTACAATGATTCATTGTTGCCCTAGGAGCTTGTTTCAATACGTACTTTTTAAAGTTTTTTATTCATGTCAACCCTTTGTTTATAGTGGATGTCTATGGAATTGCATTAATGTAAAACTAGCATGGTGAATCAAGTTTGGCATTTTTTTGTTTTAATAATTTTTTGGATTAATGGCTATGTTGTGATCAAAGCTGCAAATCTTCAGAGGAGAGCATCATATTTTGTGTTTAGGCAGGATGTGATTGCAAATGGTGGTGAGATACAGTGCCATCTATACTCCTTCCTATTTGAGTTGAAATAAAAAGCCTGGTTTTCAGAGTTACTCTGCATCTACAGCTCTCCACTGACCAATTGCAGCTGTGAATGTTCAGCACTTCTGGACTCGGGCCTTAATGCTTTAGCAATTGCTATGGTTGAACCCCTGGATGTACAGGATGAAGTCTGCAGACCTCTGAAAGATGGATAAAGCTTACGCAAGGGTTATTACTCTAAGCTCTTAAAGTTTGCCTTTTTTTTTTTTCAATACTGCTGAACATTGCCAGAATGAAAAAGTGAATTAGATTATGATAGGTCCAGTATCCATAATGTTTGTTCATTTCAGCTAAAACTATTACATAATTTCCAGGGATGATTGTAAAATTAACAAGTTTTTACTTGGATGCCCTGGGAGACCTAAAGGCACTGTGCCAAATAGCTTTTCATTTTGAATATGAAGCAGAGAGCTGAAGGTCATTGCAGAAATTTCTCAGCTTAAAAACTGAGACAACTAAGCTAACATTTTTTTAAAATATATATTTAAATATTGAAATATGAATCCCAGTTCTTAATTGTATTAATTCATATTAAAAAAAAAACAACTCAGGTAAACAATAATAAATTGATATGAGTCGAAATAATTTGTCTTGAAAAAATATTGTTGCGTTCCAAGGTGGATAAAACCAATGTTTTTTAATTTTAAGATGTTAATATAAATTAAATATAGATTTTAAAAAAATTAAAGGGTTTAAACTTGACAGTATAACCACCAGTGTTAAAATAATTTAAATAGTATAGTTTTGCCGCATTATTGAGCCCTCTTCAAATTCTAATGAATGAAAGGATGGTACTTTTTAAATTTATGTATAGAGTAAGGGAAAGAATATTCAAATTTCTCAGGCTTTATAAATTTGTCTCAATGTTAGTGAGCATTATGAAGCATGAAGTGTTTTATGCAGCCTTCATGATGGAGTATATACTGATATTTACCTTTTCTAGGAAGAATTTTCTTTTCTTTTTTTTTTAACAGAAAATCTTTTGTTGTAATTGCATTTGGTTTCAATTTAGCTATCAGATGCAGAGACTATTTCCTTAATTTAAATTCATTCATTCAGAGAGTTCAAAATAGTTATGAACAAAAATGTATCTGTAAGAGAATGAGATCTAGTAATTCTAAAAATATGAAGGGTATAGTGCTAGATTTTTCAAAAGTGTTGTAATATATAACGATGTAGGTCGTTGTCCTAGGTGAGATTTCCAAAAGGAGATTTCCATTTATTTCAAAGTGAGTCAGGCACCTGACCTGTTTGGGCACTTTTGACATTCCCAGCATTTCTGAATGTGAAAATACCTTGAAAATTTGGGCCAAAACCAGACTGCCCTGCCCATGATGAGCAGTGGTGATTGGGCAGAAGCTGCTGCTGGGCACAAGGAAGAAGTGGTCACCTTCTCTTCGGCACTGCCCAGCCCTTATTGCTATAGCTGCCCAGAGCCTGTGTGTGGGCTGTCTTGCAGCTCCTCTTCACTGCCACTGCTGTCCCTTTGGGTGGCCCAGAGGCAGTGCTGGCAGCAGTGGTGGCCGCAGTGGAGAGGAGCCACAGGTCAGCCTGGGCGCAGGTTCCAGGCAGCTGCAGCAAGAGACAACTTGGCAAGGGGGCAGGGGCAAGGGGGAGGTGGCCAATTTCCCCCCACGCCCAGCCACAGCTTCTGCCTAGCCACCATTGCAGCTGCTGCTGCTCATGGGCAGGCAGGTCTGGAGTGGGCACGGGATGGCCTAGGGCCTGGGCTGTGTGCGTGGGTCCCAGCAGGTGTGGATCCCGTCTGCTCTAGTTGGAGCAGGTGCAGGGTGGCCTGGGCCAGGGCCAGAGCCAGGGCGGTGTGTGGACCTGCCCTTTTCAATGGGGCCGAGGGCCAGCGGTGGCAGCTGCCGGAAAGAGCCACCACCTGGGCTGCCTAGAAATGGAGTCCAGCCGCAAAGCTGCCCCAGCCCCTGTGTGCGCCTGGGGCAGTGGGATGTGCATGGGGACAGATGGCTTCTGGGACAGGAGAAACTGAGGGACCTGCCATGGGCCAGACAGAGTCCCTCTGCAAGCCATTTCCAGCCTGTGGGCCATATTTTGCCCATCCCCTGCCCTAGCTCTTAGTCTCCTGCCCCTGCTCACCAAGCCTCTGGTAGCAAGTCACAGCTATGCAGGCAAAAGGTAGACAGAGATGGTATTTCACCTTAAGGTGTGACTGCTCCGCTAAGCTGATTAACATTTGTTCAGCTTACAGCATAAGGTGTAACAAGGCTCTTACTCCCTGTGCCATGGCTGTGTGTGGCCTTGAAATGATGGCAGCCTGAATGAGCGTTTTAGCTGTGTGGATGGATCAGAAAGGCTGTGTCTTAGGCAATACATGAAAAAGAATCTGCAAGACGGCCTGGACTTGGAACCTTAGAGAGTCATGCCTTCTCTGCCAGGTTTGCAGTGAAAGCTATTTTTCTTTCTGGTTAAACGTGTATTTTCCTTTTTTCTCTAGAAAAAAAACTGAAAATTATTATTTGTGCTCCAAATTCAGTAGGTTCTTCCTACCATCTCCTAGTTCACATTCTTTCCTCCCCTCCACTGTGCTTCTTTGTGCATGGCCCCATATATAGACATTTGGCTAGGGGAAAAGATGCATTTTTGTTACTGTGGGCAGTAATTGGGAAAGTTTGGACGTGGTGTGAAGGACAGGTAATAGAGACACTTTGAGATTCAGAAAAATAAATCAGTTTGGTCCCTGGATTTTATTTGTATTTGTGAAAGGCAAAAAGTGGCTGAACTGGTTTTTTTTTGTATATCCATTTCATGTAAAAACATAGCAAGTTTGTTAGCTGGTGATTTTTAGGAAGCTGGTGTATGTCAATGTCTTGCATGGAACCGCTGATGTTGTCACATTGTAAAGGTGATCATGGCATGATAAGCTAAAGTGGTGAAAGTGCACACCATTTTCTGTGTTTTAAACATGGGGCTATTGTATGCCTTCAGACAGGCATGTACATTAATAAATGGGTGCAATGAAAATGGATGCCAGAGTGTTTGAGGATAAACAGTGCTTCTTGGGTCTCATTGTGCAAGATTCCAAGAAGTCACTATAATGTGGGGAAAAATAAATGCAGTTGATCCTGCAACACAGAATTGAATCAGATGAAAAAAAGTAGTATTTATATATTAAAAAAGAAATAATCATTTCTAAGGTTAGTTTTCTGAAGCATTTCATCTACTTTTAACTAAAATTGTGTACTTTAAAAATCTGTTTTATTTTCTGTGCTATTAAGGTAAATTTAACCACATCAGTGACCCATACTTACTTAGAGTTGTTTCCCATTTGAGACCTGGAAACCCCTGGGCCAAGTTTTTTCCCTAGTTAACCCAGGGTGTTCCCCTTTCAACTCCATTCCTGGTGCCCTCATGGACAGAGTCCCAGGATGCCCAGCTGGAGGACAAGGTGCTGGGCAGCACAGGGGAAGCACTGAGGGTGTGGAATCAGGCCAAGGGGGTGCAGGAAATGTGTGCACGGAGTGTGTAAAAGGACACATGAGGCCTGAAAGGTGAGTGGGAGCAGACCAACAGGGTGCTGCAGCATGGTTGTTGCCACTGTAGGGTTCAGTTCCAACATACCTCCTGAAAACTGAGTCACGCAGCACAGTTTTGCCCTGCAGTGGCAGCGCAGCCTGAAGATAGATGCCACTGCCCATGTGCCTTGGTTTTCAGGAGTCGTGTTGGCTTAGAAGAGCTGCAGTAGAAGCGGCATGCATGCCTACATAATGTGATGCCAGCCTGGCAGGAGTGCCTTTCTGCTGCAGCCACTTGTGAGTTCAGCTCCAATATACCTACTGAAAACCAAGATGCATGCTGCAGTTTCAGTCTACAGCAGCACTCTGCGATGCTCCAGTTTCAAACCTCTGGTTTAAGGTGTGCTGTGCTTGTTTAACATGGGGCTCGGTTCTGTGATAGAGCACAAGCTTGGGTCCCATCCAGTAGTTAGATACAGAGTTTAATGTAGTTTTGGTGCAGGGATTTGTCTGTGTACTTGTCCTTGCAGAATTGAGGTCTTTACAAATCGTGATTTCTGTCACGGGGCACTCTTATTCCCTTCTGTAAAAAAGAGTTTAAATTGTTTAATGTAAGAATACAATAAAGAAGTAACTAAAAGTATCTTAAATTTGTATGTACGTCATATATGGAAAGGTTTGACAGAAAAGGAAAGCTAAAATATTGTATTTTGTGGGCAAACTTGATTTGCTGCAATAACCTGTTTCCTTTCTCTCTCAGGCTTCTTTACAGCTTGGCCTTTAATGCCAGGTTCCTAAGGCATCTTTGGTATCTAATCTCTTCAATGACTACACGAATGATTACAGGGTACGTATTATATCATTCAATGAGCTTAAATTAGAATAGAGTATACCTAATGAAAAAGAAAAGAGGACCTTGTGATACACTTGAAAAAATACAGTAGGTATACGTAGAAAAAAAGAGTTTAAAGAAAAAATTTCAATAGTTGATTCTTATTTAGACTCCAGCAAAATTTCCATTAACGTTAATTGAGGCTTTGATGTAGTAAAAACATTAAAGGGCCTTGGGAATAGAGCTGGTGTTTAATTAGAGGTATGTGCTAAGTGAAGTATCTCAACCTTCCTTTAAAATAACAGTTCACATGTCTTTATGTTAAACATGATAATGATATTTACATTTTCTGAAGATTATGTTGATTCTATTGAACAAGCACTGACAGTACTATCTAAAAATTTGAAGCAGGAATTTAAGAAAAGCACTCTCATCTACATTGGTTCTTCCTGATGTGAGGGACGTCAGATTAGACCAGAGATCAGGAATGTAGGGCACGAGTCATTGAAAAAAACAGCATGTTCCTAGTTCAACACCCTAACCCTTATCATAGCTAATTTTGTATGAAAAGAAAAATATATACCTGAAAGCAGAGAACATAAAGCTTGCAACTGTGGCAAAAATACCAACCCCTTTTCCCTTCTTCTCAGTGTCCTGTTCTTATTTTTATGTCTCCCCTCCCCAATCCCTTCATTTAAGGAGCAGATGGCCTAATTTCCCAGAATAAATTATGTGCATTTGTGTCAGAATTGGAAAATCACCATTCCCTCCTTCCTAAGATGCAAGGTGGTAAAATCACGTAAATCACGCAAATCAAATGTTTTGCTGTGATAGAAAGGAGAATAATAGTAACACAGGAAAAAGGAAAATGAGAGGAGATGAAAAGAGAGTGAAAGGAAGGGCTCCAAAGAGTTGTAACTGTTCGAAATGTTTTACTTTTCAGCAGTTTGGTTTTATCTTTTTGGCTGTATCTTTTTGTTTAAATTTTCAATAAATTGGTACACTTCAGCGTGAGAAATTGAAGTTGCTTCCTGTTTATCTTTGTGTGGGGGTGAAAAAGGGTATTCATGTTCTGGGTTAATAGGCTTTGGCCTTTGACCTCAGAGTTTATTTGTTAAAAACACCTTTGTCTTCCAACTTTGAGTTTATTCAACCTGAGTTGTAGTGATTGCTTTGCTTTGTAAATACAAAGCATACCTTAAGTTACTTCAGTAATATGTATATGTGCCCACTTGCACTTTCTCCTAGATATACATGTATACTTATCGGTACAGAATTGTTGGAGTTATATTTTGTTTTGAACCATATTGCTTAAAAATGAAATAAATTCTCTCTGCTAAAAATTGAATTGTTTGAATTTAGCATGTCTGTTTCCAATGCAGTTTTGGTACTTAAGAATTGAAATATTATATCATTTATCCTTGCTTTATATTATTCACATACAATTTAAAGTAATCTGTCATTATGGTCATATTACTTAGAGGTAGAAAAGATCTTTTAAGTATGTGTATACCATCTCAGCAGCACTCCCAAAACCACCATCAAGAAATAAGCCAGGCCTATTTGCTGCTGCTGTATAGAAATGTTGTCCATTTGCTTTTCAGTGTCTCAGTTTCAAACACGCTCCTGAGAACCCTGTGTCCAGTGCTGTTGTGGTGATCACATAGCATATGATATGTGCAGAGCGCCAGTAGGACTTCCTTCTTAGCATCTTGTTCGGAAATGTGGTAGAGATGGTAGTGATGTACTCTTTACTCCTTGAGGTGACTTTTAGATATGAAGGATGATCTTATGGCTAAATCCAATGATCAGCAAAACTTTTTGTGGTGGGTCAGAATGACCTAGTTCAGGGGTGGCACTAGGATGCTGCCACTTTTCCCAGCCATGACATGGATGAAGCTCCTGCTGAGCAGTCATGACTCAGGCAAAGTCCCTCTCTGCTGGACTTCTGCTGAAGCCCTCCCAGCTCCATGGGCTGGATCCAGCCAGTGGGATGTAGATTAGCCCCTTCACTAGACTGATATTTAAGAGACTTGAGCTCTGTTCCCAGTTCTGACCTAGTCTTGTTATGGTAGCATCTTTGCTTCAGTTCTCCAGTTGTAAACAAGAATGCTAATAATGCAAGTGCGTTAGAAGGTGCTTACTTCTGTGCAATGTTGATAAGAGTTTATAAATAATAATCCCATTTAATAAAAACAGGGTATTGTTCCCCCACGGAGATCCTATCACTCGTTAAAATGAGAATACTCTTTATGCTATTTAATGGAGCACTAATCTGTAGTATTTTGACTAAAATCCTGAAGTTTTAAATCTTCCTTAAAAACTAGAAGATCAATTAACTATTTTCTATTTTGTTTTTTTATCTTAAGGTCTATGGTGCCATTACTTCAAGTGATATCAAGAGGGTCTCCAATGTCTTTAGAAGACTCCAGTCGGATCATCCCTCTCTTCTACCTTTTTAGTTCTTTGTTTAGTCATTCACTTATTTCTATTCATGATAATGAATTCTTTGGTGATCCCATAGAAGGTAAGAGCATAAAGCTTGCTGCATAGGATCTGATTTGGCAAGCCTCACTCTCTCAAAATTTATTTTGATCTCAATAAGAGTTCTGTAGAAGGAAGGTTTGTAAAATCAGCCAAGGGATGTTAATTGAACATTAAGTATGTTACAAAAATGAGATAATATATTAACATCCATTATTTTACTGTAGTTTAGACAGTAATGGATGCAGTTGGCATTAATGTCCGTTCCTTTTGGTTTGTGTTTTGTTTCCTTTTTGTCACTTTTTTCCTGTGTGTGTAAATATCAATATTTCTGTTTTCTTAAAAGGAGTAAAAAAAACACCAATTGTGCTATGAAAATAAGACAAATATTAGAAAAGTTGTTTTGAAGATATTTAACCTTTATTTAGCTGTAGGTCAAAGACAATCATCAATGATGCCTTTTACATTAGAAGAATTGGTAATATTATCACGCTGCCTTCGAGATGCCTGTTTGGGAATCATCAAATTGGCTTACCCAGAAACAAAACCAGAAGTGCGTGAGGAATATATTGCAGCATTTCGAAGTGTTGGAGTCACAACAAACACAGAAATGCAGCAGTGTATACAAACAGAACAAAAACGATGGATTCAGCTGTTTAAGGTATTAGATGTCAATTTTTCACACGAATTAAACAGTCAGCCTGTTCAAACATGTTTTACTGGTACCTTCAGAGTATTTGGCTACAATTAATTTCATGCTCATGCTTTTGTTGCAGATATGATCATTTAGGAAACACGGTGTTTGGAAATAACCTTGACTTTAAAAAGAATTCTGGGTTTAAGCAAAATATATTGTTGCTTAGCATAATAGTCTTATTTTTGGTAACTGTAATTTAAAAGTCATTTTGGTTTGACAAGTGTTTTTTTGGTTTGTTTTGTTTGGTTGTTTTACATTTCACTGGTTTATGTAGGAGTTGGTATGGAAAATGCATATGAACATTTAGCCTGCAATTTAGTGAAGTAGCTAATCATGCAACTGACTTCATGAATTGTCCAGACCAGTGGAAAGGCACTTTCTGCCCAAATGTTTGTCTAACATCTCTCCTAATTATACGGTTCATAGAATCATAGAAGGTTAGAGTTGGAAGGGACCTCAGAAGGTCATCTAGTCCAACCCCCTGCTCAAAACAGGACCAATAAAACATATGACTAAAAACTTCTTGCTTCTCTTAGTATGAGTAGTTCTGGTAACATCGGGGAATGACTTATGAACTTAATATTAATACTTAGGAACCTTGTTGAATCGGGGCCTTAGATGGTTTGATTCAGTGCTGTCACTCCAGTTTCACGTCAGTCAGCTCCACTGAGTCTTGTAGACACTACATTGGTTGGAAAAAAGGGGTGAATATGGTTCAGTGAATGTAAAATTAATTCAGGTTGTTCCTAGCTAACTAGTAATATACTTCTAACCAGTTTTCCCAGCCTAAGATACGAGTTAAGTGAGGGAAGCTGAGATTGTTGGCAGGAAAAGACCTAAAAATATAACTGTTGCATAAAAAAGAGTGCTTGACTTGCCATGAAATTTCTGCAGCAAACACATCTAGTCAGCTAAAATTGCTCATTAAAGGAGTGGGAGCAGAAGAAATGCATTTTCCAAATTGAATGCTAGATTTACAGTCCGTTTAATACTGGCGACCTCTCGCACACTAATGTTCAGTTCGAGTCATCAGCTGTCCCTTCAGGTCTTTTATCACTGCTTTTGTCAAGCTATCTATTTAATTGAAAGAAGTTAATTGAATGAAAATGATCAACTAAGCTTGTATTAATATTGCTAATGGAACTTTCTTCTTGGCCATGTTTGGAGAAAGATGTCATGCTAGACTTTAGGAAAGGCCCATTAACGCTTGCACTTAACCTGATGGGCTAATTAAGGAATGCTTATTCATTCTACAAGTCTTCCATAGCCTCTATCCAACCCATTCTGCCTGATTTTACAACACATTTCACTTATGAGCATGAGCATTATGAGCATTAGTAGCAGTGAGAGTAACTGATAATGTTTTGATTGCATTGAATACAGTCCTAATGCATCACTGAATTTGAAATTTGTGCAGATTGATCTAATATATGTTTGCACAATTTAATTTAATTACTTGTCTTTAAATTACCAAATAAACTTTCAATTTAAAGGTCACAAATTGAGACCCTGGTATGTCTATTTTTCTAGAATGACAGCATGTTAGGGACACTTTTATGTGTGTGGTTTATGCCATGTCATCTTCTATTTGTGCCCTTTAGTTGATCATATTTAATCATTCTCTTTTCACTAACCTCTAGTAGTTATGATGAAAATTGTTGTAACATTTTGTTTTCCTTCTAGCTTCTCAAATGTCAGCCATTCTCAAAAGATGGGTTTGTATTCCATTATCAGAATAATAAATCTAGAAGATATGTTTAAGGCTCTTTTTTACCAGATATTTGTTTAATTATAAAGCTTCTTTACTTTTTTAGATATAAAATTAGCTGGTGGTAAAATTCAGCTGTCAAAGCTGAAGGACACCTTGTTTTGGCAAGAAAATTTCAATGCATAGTATCGAATCTTTCCAAGGGACCTTCTGAAGTTACTAGTGATCCAATAAAATGTGATGTAGGAAATCACGTTTTGTCAGATAAAGACAGATTTTTCTAAACCTTGAATTGATCCTGCTAAAGCAGTAGATTAACGACATCTTTTCTGAAGTTTCTGAATACTTGCTTTGCATTACTAGATGGAAATCTCAGTTGTGCGGCTTTTTTGAAAATATGAAAGAGGAATCTTTTGTTTACTGAGGTTCTTTTCTCCAAATAATGCAAAATTTTCTACAGGAAACTCCAGTCTCTCCAAATTTATCGCAGCTTGTTTTAAGGTTCCTTTAACTGTCTTTGTGCTATTTTATTGGCACAGTCTTTTACTTTGTGTGGAACATTTCTTTCTGGATTTTGGAAGTGGGGTGCTAATGGGACCATGTAACTTTAATGTTACATGGTCCCCTAACCTGCATTGGATTTTTTTAAGGGAAAAATTATAAAAATTCCAGTGCAATCAAATAGTTCTAAGGAGACCTTATAACATGCTGCATCTTTAAAAGATCATTTGTTTAGTATGTATACACAAAGACCTGTAGAAGGTTCAGTAAGTTCTTTGTTGCTCATAACACCTGTCTTGTTAGCATTCATGTGTGAGCACTCATGTGTGCTTGTGTGTCTTCAGCTCATTTTTGAAAATGCCATGGTTTAAAGTGGCAAAGTACATCCCTAGTTTTGGTAGCAGCAGAAACTGCTTTGCTTACTTCTATACAACTATAAGGCTTCCAATTACTTCCATTATAATATTTGGGTGGGGCTACAAGGTTGCTTCTTTCTTACTGGTGTTTTTACCCATTTTGGGGATGAAAGAATGGGATAGGGTGATAGTCCTATAGGTAGTAGGTTATTTTTTGATTTGATGTTTTCTGGCTATTTCCTGGTTTTAGTGAAGCTGTTGTTGTATTCTTTTAATTGTCAACCAGCTAAGCAGGATAAATGTTTTCCCCAGCCTCCCAGTTTTGTTGTATAAACAGCTTTGTGTTCACCCATCCTCATATCCCCTGCCTGATATTGAAATGGCCCTGCATCTTTTATTTGAACTGGCTTAAGTTTTGCCAGATATGTATGGATACAATAATGTACAAGTATTTTTTGATTGTATAGTTGGAGAAGCAAAAATGCAGGACATTATCAATTTTTACCTGAGGCCAATATCAGGGATCTACCAAAATGTTTGTTATGGGAGAACTGTTAAAACTTGTCTAACTTAAAAGTGAAAACAACATTCAGGGAGGCATATAAGTTTATTGAATATGCTGTAGTATCACTATTATATTTTAAAAACTTTTATATTAAAGATATGTAAGATGATGTTTACTTGTTTATATCTTACAAGTCTGGGTGTTCATGTACTGTAATAATTGCAATATAGGTATGCTGGTAGAATATCCTTTTTTGTCTCTAAATCATCCTAATAAAACAAATTAGTTATTACTGGCATAGTTACTTTTGGTTTTCATGAGCTACTGTACAATCATAAAATCATAGAACTGGAAGGGACCTGTAAGATCATCAAGTCCAGTCCCTTGCCATGGGCAGAAAGTTATTGGGCTCAGATGAGCTTGACAAAGTGCCTGTCCAGCCTCACCTTCAACACTTCCAAGGAGGGGTGACTGCACCACCTCTGCTGGGAGTGTGTTCCAGATTCTGGTGACTGTTACAGAGAAAAGGGTTTTCCTTATGTCCAGCCTGAATTTACCCTCTATTAGTTTATGCCCATTGGTCCTTATCCTCCCTTGAGGTGCCATCCTGAAGAGTTGCTCTCCTAGTTCCTGATGCTCCTGCCTAACGTATTTGTAGGCAGCTATCAAGTCCCCTTTTAGCCTTCTCTTACTCAGACTGAACAGCCCCAGTTCCCAGAGTCTCTCCTCATAGGGCCTACCTTCCAGGCCCTTAACCATATGGGTGGCCCTTCTTTGTACCCTCTTGAGCTTATCCACATCCTTCTTGAAGTGCGGTGCCCAAAACTGGACACAGTACTCTAGCTGAGGCCTCACCAATGCTGAATAGAGAGGGAGGAGCACCTTTCTGGATCTGTTGGCCACACATCGGCTGATACACGCCAGAGTTTTATTTGCCTAGTTGGCTCATATTAGCTCACACTGTTGTTTTATATTCATCTTCCAGTTGATCGTGACCCTCAGGTCTTGTTCAGATGCTGTGCCAGCCAGTGGACCACCGCTGTATAGTTGTGGTGAGGGTTCTTCCTACCCAGGTGAAGGACCTTGCACTTCTCCCTATTAAAACTCATCTGATCTCATTCTGCCCATAAATCCAGTCTGTCAAGGAAATCTTGAATCTTTGCCCTATCCTTTGGTGTGCCCGTGTTTCCCCACAGCTTGGTATTGTCTGTGAACTTAATCATTGAGCTTTCCACCCCCTCATCCAAGTCATTAATGCATATATTGAATAGCGCTGGTCCAAGCACCGATCCATGGTGGATACCACTGGAGATGGCCCTCCAGGCCATCCCAATACAGTGCCTTTATGTGTGAGAGAGATTCCTATGATCTGCAGAAGGAAGCATTCTTTAGCAAACTAGTTATTTTGATGATTTTTGTCCCGTTCTCAGTTACTTAAGACGAAATGTGATTAAGCATTTAGAAAGGAGAATACTGTTGTTTGTAATACAAATAAAGAAGTAACTGTAAACTAACTAATCACTGCAGGATTACTTTAGATTTTTTGCATAGTAGAACCACCTTTCCTTCGTACAGTTTAAAGTGCTAACTTATAGATCTGTTTCTACCATCTAGGTCATCACTAACTTAGTAAAAATGTTGAAATCTAGAGACACAAGGCGAAATTTCTGTCCACCCAACCACTGGTTATCAGAACAAGAAAACATTAAAGCAGATAAGGTAATAATAACATTTCTTACATCTAACTTAATTTTTAAGTGCTTCTCTTTAGTTTGTTTAAGCTTCCTAACGGGAGGAATTGGGTTTTATGTATGAAAGAAATGACTGGAAGGATGCAGGTAGGTAACATCTAATGCAAGAGTTTAAATTATAAGATGCATTATTATGTAGTCGGGTATTAGTTATGAGATACAAGACTTACTTTTGTAGACTATGTCAGTATGTTGTACAGATTAGTTAAACTAGTTTAAAATCTGAAATGATGTTGCAGTTCTCTGAAACACAGAAAAGTCTTTCACCTAATGAGATACCTTTACCTCTAGTTATGTTACTCTTTTGGAGAGTGGAACCCATTTACCAGAACTTTGGATATAAGAAAACTTGATACAAGCTTGCAGACCAAAAACAAACAGTCAAAAAAAGCCCTTTATTTTAAACTCAGTGCATTCC